CCTCCCCTTCCCTGCTCTCCCCCTGCCACCACTGGTAGCCTCATTCTCCTCACTCACAGCTCAACTCAGCAACACCTGTCATCTTCAAGGAGTCCTTCTTGGATATTCTATCAACAGCACTCATCCCTATCCTCTTTTTTACCTAGCTGGACCCATTGTTCTTGCTTACATATTTATTTCCTCTTCTCATCTGCTTTTGAACATTTCCTTGTGGTGGGAATACCTAAGATGCACCCTCTTGCTATGATTTGAACATGATTTGGTCCCCAAACTCAGAAACGCCTTGAACCTCAGAGTCCTAAGTAAATGGTTCCGAGAGAGTGGAAATGCTCCAATTGTGGTGTTTAGGAGGCCCCGAGAATTAAGCCATCTTCTGCTGCTTTCCCAGGTGCATTAGCAGGGAGCTGGATCGGAAGCATAGCAGCTGGGACTGCAACTGCCACTCTGATGTGGGATACTGGTGTCATAGGCAAAAATTTAACCTGCTGCACCAAAACTAGTCCCTAGATCCTCACCTGAAAATATATATTTGAAATGGATGACAGGGTTAAACATAAATCTAGAAATTCAGATCAAAATGCTTTTCTGATTTTTGAATTTACAAAAATAAGCTTAAAGGCCACGAAAAATTCAAAAGGAGATGGTGACAAATACGCTTCAGAGAGATGAGAAGAATCCTGGTTTTAGATCCTTTCTTAAGACACAATGGAGGGCAGGCCCTGGCATCACAGTGAAGACACTCCTGAAGAGGCCCACATTCCATTTCATCAAGCCTAGATCTCAGACTCAGCTGCTTCCCTTGTTGTGCCCCTCTGTCCCCAACCCATCCCTGGAAGCACAAAACGGAGCATGTCCTGGGATGCAGCAGCTGATGGCTCAAGAGCTTGGACATATCAGAACTGGACTGAGCTCCTGGCTCAAGGTTTCTCTGTCCTGCTTTGAATTTTGCATCATCTGGAGAGTAAGTCAAAAGATAATTTCTTTCCCACCCCCACCATCTCTTCTTGTTCTTCCAAGAGATTAAATAAAAATTTTTAAAGGGTTTTTAAAGTAACAACAGCATTCTGTATCGCTGAAAACCATCCCCCCACCTGAGGCATGCAGAAGAGCATAGTGCTAGTACAGTTCTGGACAAGGTGAAAAATGTCCCAGTCAGCAAGAATCAAATCCCAAATCCCAAGTCTATGTGACTTTTCTGCCAAAGCTAAACTAAGCTAAATTTAAACAAGCCACTCTATTAGCTATAATAAAACAAAAGTGCTTTGTTGTATAATCTCTTCCCCAGGCTGGTCACCTTTTTTCCCATTTTCTTGTCATGTCACACTGGGGACTCTGGCTGATGGTCGTTTTCTGGGGCCTGTCTTAGGTGAGTGGCAATTACTGCTTCCCTAAAGTCTCTCCTTTGATTTCTCAGATGCAGAATTTCCCACAGTCATCATAAAGCAGCAATATCAAAAGCACTCACATTTCATCCACCGTGACAGCTCCTTCCTGCTCTCCCTCCTTCCCACCGAACTCTCTGACAACTGAAAAGGAAGTAGGGTCCTCCTTTGTGGTTGTCTGGGCCAAGATCACAGATAGCATTCCTGGGCTTTGTGGAAACTGAAATCACTCCAGAGAAGTCCACATTACCTCCACCCACTCAAAAGATGCAGCTGATAAACCTCAGGCAGGCAGCAGCTTCCTTCTTACACTGGATGCAGCATGACAAGCCAGGGCACACATTAAGAGCTTGTTGAAGCCAATAAATGTTGCCATCATAGAATGATAGATTCTTCAAGACCACACATTCTCTTATCCTTCCGACCCTCTAGGGTTTCCTCTAGGGATAAACACACAGGAAAACCATATTGCTCTCTGACAACCATACCCTGCCTCTCTCTCCCCCACAACTGAAACTACTCCCTAGAAGTATAAAGGGCACTGAAGACTCTTGAGTGATGAAATATGGATCCCTTCCATTGCCAAGTAATAAAATTCCTTCTCAACCCACTCTTCCACCAGCTGCCCCATTTTTCTTTGTGTCTCTTGCCAGGTTAACCTCTGTAGACTTGTCACTGTCATTCCTTCACTATCCAGTCCACCGCAATTGCACCTCCTTCAACCTAGCTTCAGGGTCGCCATGCCAGCAATATGGTTCTCAGCAATGCGCCCAGTCAACAGCAGTTTTCAGTTCCCATCAGGCTCAGCTTCCAAAGGTGGGAGCAGAGAGACCAACTTTTGTAGAGAAAGCTGCCCATAAAGAGATTGTACACACTCCCCAAGCTGCAGCTTTACTCAGATGGAGAACTCACTCCACATTCAGCAACCACCTCCACTTCTGCCTCTCCCAGGGACTCATCTGCTGGGAAGAGAAAGCAAGGGTACTCCTTGAAATCTTTTCACTGTTGGTTTACCAGGGAGTGTTATCACAGGTGGTTCTCGTGAGATAGAGCACATGTCTGTTCCTCCTCCAACTGGATCAGAGATGAACAGATGTATGTTCTCTGCCCCTTCCACAGTAAGGGGAAGAAAAATTACAGAGGAGGGAGGGAAAAGAACAGCTTTGGCCCCTCTTCTCCCCTCCCTCCTAATTCTTCCTGCTTTATAAGAACTGGTTTACTAGTTAGAACATCCTCCAGTATCCACCTGCAAAGGCCTCCCACAAGGTGAGGGGATGCGAGCATCAATGACATCAGAGCCACTCTGACCCCTCTCTCCCTCCTCCAGACCCAACATAGTAGAAATGGTTGGAACCAGATAGGAGGAAGAGGAGGAGGGATGCCAGAGGAAGACCACTCTTCACTCAAACCACAAGTCTAACAAGTGAGGAGTTCAGAAAATGTTTAAGTTACACTCCTATTCAGGCAAATGACAGCTTTTCCAGACACATTTGAGTGTCATAATAGGAGTCCTTGCTGTTTGCTGAGTAAATGATTAAACTGCTTCTCAATCTGCTTCACACCCATGCTGCTTTAAAAAAAAAAAAAAAAAGATTATTTTTATTTGGAAAGTCAGATATACAGAAAGGAGGAGAAACAGAGAGGAAGATCTTCCATCCACTGATTCACTCCCCAAGTAGCTGCAATGGCCGGAGCTCAGCCAATCTGAAGTCAGGAGCTCAGAGCCTCTTTCAGGTCTCCCACATGGGTGCAGGGTCCCAAGGTTTTGGGCCATCCTCAATTGCTTTCCCAGGCTACCATCAGGGAGCTGGATGGGATGTGGAACTGCCGAGATATAAACCAACATCTATATGGGATCCTGGCATGTGCAAGGAAAGGACTTTAGCTGCTAGGCTACCGGCCCTGCCCATGGTATTTTTTTCCACTTTAGCATCCACTCCTACCCACAAATGTCATTTGAAGGTTGATTCTATGCTAGTTTCTCAATATCCTCATTGATAGCTGGTTAAAACATGATTAATGCCCTTATGAGTTGCTATAAAAGATAAGGAAACTGCAAACTTGCATTCACCATGAGGCATATGTGAACAGCATCATGGGAAGAGTACCAAGTACCAATACTGTCAACTCAAACATTGTCTACTCCTCAAGGAATGCCAGGATGGCTTTCCTAATCTGTTGAGACAAGGAATTTTTGTGCTTGCTGTTTCATAGCCATTGGTCTTCTATCTCGCCTGATAAAATGCATTTGCCTGGCCCCAGCACAGTAGCCTAATAGCTAGGGTCCCTGCCTTGCATGCACTGGGATCCCATATGAACGCCAGTTCACAACCCCACTTCCCATCCAACTTCCTGCTTGTGGCCTGGGAAAGCAGTCGAGGATGTCCAAAGCCTTGGGACCCTGTATCCACCCAGAAGAAGCTGTTAGCTTCGGATTGGCGTAACTATGGCCACTGCGGCCATTTGGAGAATTAATCATCAGAAGGATCTTCCTTTCAGTCTCTCCTCTTCTCTGTAGATGTGACTTTCCATTAAAAAAATATATCTTTGAAAAAAAGTATGTTTGTCCTTGCTTTTTCAAGTCTAGTGACCTGCACACCATGGTCTGTGTTTGAAATTCAGGACAATCCATGTTCATTTGGGTCTGGGGTTGATCAAACAGACTCCCCCGTGTGAACCTGGGTAAGGGCTTGGACCAAAGGAACAGGTCCATATAACTTCCCCAGGATCACCATAGCATGCAGCCTAGACTAAGAGAAAACACTGGTGGAAGATAAAGTTGGTATCACAGACAGCATTTTTCCAGTAGATATAATGCCTGGTGAGAGCTAAGCCACGCAACACCTACCCATAAAACACATCTGACCTACAGACTGCTTATTGGCACACTAGTAGATTTCATTGGCATTTAAAGTCACATATTTGCAGAAGGCAAATCTATTATAATGATTTCTAGTTTCCTTGTAAATTTTAGTTTATGGTCTTTCAGCCACTACTATTTCTTCCATGATATATTTTGACAAGCATATTAATAATCTCCTTTAAGCATTATTAGACTAATACATGCTCAATATTAAAAATTTAGAAAGCACAGCAAAGCTGACAGAAAAAGAATCAAGTATATTCTTACCAACATGTTAATATTCTGGTATATTTCTACTTAATTTCCACTTAATAGCTATTTTAAATTAATATGCCCTGTAAGCCAACTCTAATAAAAATCACTAATAAACTGGGATATAAGCTGTCATCTGTAATCTCTTTCAATTATGAATAAGGTTGTGTCTTCGTGGCTAGACAAATCAGTAAATTCAAGTTTTTAAAGATTAAGTTGACTGGAGAGAAAACTGGGGTTGTAAGTTGCTGAACATCTGAATACAAGTTGGCAGTGCGGTGCTGGGAACTGAGCTTATCACTACTTTAAGCTTGGATTCCTTCAATGTTTGATCATGCATGCTTTTGTACGAAGTACAAAACACAGTGTTCATGGCATTTTTGTGACAAGTATACAATTACCATTATTTATCAAGACATTTTAAAAAGATTTATTTTCCACTTCAGTCTTCCATAGCAGATATGCTATCCAATGACATGTAAGGTTAAAAAGTATTGGCATACCTGATTAAGAAATTATGTAGTCCAACATCAAAATACCTGTTCAAAAGAGATATAAACAAACATGTCAATAAAAGATGTTCATAGCATTGATGAACTTGACAATACACAACTGTCTGAGTATCCACAGGGGATTGGTCCCAAGACCGCTATATATATCAAATCTCTGAATAATCAAGTCTTTTGTATAAAATGGTGCATTTGCACATAACCACATACATCTTCCAATATACTTTAAATGATCTGTAGATTACCGTTCTCCCACTGGGAGAAGTCCCATAAAAAGAACAAGAGCTCTGCATACTGGTTTCCACAATGTCTGCACTAACTTATATTCCCACCAACAGTATATGTGAGTTCCCCTTTCCATAGGTCCTCACCATGCAATGTAAATGCTATGTAAATACCAGTTGTTACATTACATTGTATAGGGAACAATGGGGGTGGGAGGAAGTCCATGATACTTCAGCACAAGCCCAATATTTTTTTCTGAATACTTTTAATTTATAGTTGGTTTACAGGATGGGCTATAATGTCTAGTCTTAGCGCATGGCAAATAAGTGGCCCCTGGAGCAGCAGCAACACTGGAGAACTTGCTGGAAAAGCCAGTTCTCAGGCCCTGTGCTAGACAAGGTGTATCAGAAATCCTGGAGAAGGGCCACCACTCAAGCCCTTGAGGCCACCCCTAGTCTGAACCACTCCTGCTTGATAGCAGACATGTCTCAGGAAAGTTAAGTCCTCTCCAGAAATGCAAACTGTGCAAATGGATTTCCAGACCCTTCCACCTTCTAAGGGGGTGAGTTCTTTTGCAACACTGGCTAGTTCAAGTGTTCATTGTCTCAAAAGTGAGGCACACTAGCCACAGAGGTGAGGAGGGAGTCGGCTCTGGTCTTCCCAGCCCCACCTGTTAGGGCTGTGTGAGAACAGCCCTAACCCCTCCCTGGGTCTGAGAAGAGCCAAGGCCCCTGCTACATGCTCAGAACACATTGTAGACATCCAGCAAGCCCCTTTAAAATCACAGCCTTCCCCTGATGCCACCAAACTGGTGCAGTCTCTCTGAATGGCACCGCCTGGGTTTCCTTAATGAACTTGTCTGTTTCCCTCAGCAACCACCAACACCTGTGAGAGAAAAGCCAAGGTGGCCCAGAGTGTGCTGCTACCCACTCAGCATCACTGTGATTCCTGACATCTGCAGGGTGGCTCCTGGGCCCTACCCACACTGGTCTTCTGGGTTGGCGCAACCAGCCAGAATGGAGCCACAGCTAACTCTGCCCCTTCACATTACGTGACCCCCTGGGAGAAGTCCCATAAAAAGAACAAGAGCTCTATATACTGGCTTCCACAGTGTCTGCATTAATTTATATTACCACCAACAATATATGTGAGTTCCCCTTTCCATATGTCCTCACCAGCATTTGCTACTTTCTGTCTTGGATAGCAGTCACAATGGTATCTCATTGTGTTGATTTACATTTCCCTGATGTCTAGTGATGTTGGGTATCTTTCATGCATTTTTTTAGCCATTTGTATTTATTCCTTTTAAAACTGTCTGGTGAGGCCTTTTGCCCGTGTCTTAACTGGAATCCAACAATTCTGCTACTAAGAGACATGAACATATTTTATCAAAGTGATACTGACACCACTATGTTTATGAAAGCACTGTTCCCTGTAGGCAGAGCATGGGCTTAAAAGGTGTGCATCAGCAGACTGCAATATAATACAAATGATATGCATTTTACATAGAATGGACTGTAACTACTCAGCTATAGAAAAGGAAATTATATTGTTTGCATCAAAATATCTGCAACTGGAAGCCCTTATGCAGAGTGAAATAAGTTGGACACAGACAGACAGATACAAAATGTTCTACTTATATATGCAAGCTAAACTTGAAACAATTTAAATATGAAAAATGAATAAATGCTTGCATGTATAAAGGTTTTCCTACAAATATAGTGTTTTATCAGACCTAATTTTCCATCTCTGTCAAACCAATGAGTAAGAAAGAAATTACTAGTTTCAATGATTTGTGACTGTTTCAAAATTTCCTTCTATAAACAAAATAGGCATCTTTTCATTTGGTTATTGCTTATAGCCCTTGCTTACATTATTGCTGAACTAAGTCCTTTATACTTTTTTATTTGTTGAACTCTTTATTTAGTGTAGCATTAAACCTGCTACCATAATGTAAATTGAAAGTATGTAATCTCAAAGAATAGGGAGAAAAAAGTACAAGAGATGCTTCACAAAGCAGCCCAGGAAGCAAGCACCTGTGCTGGGCTCAAGCAACAGGGAGGTCAGTACGGGAGGGACAGGGCTGGGGACACAGGCAGGAGAGAATGGAATCCAAGGAGTTGCCCTGTGAGAGCAGGTGAGACAGGCTGTAGCAGAGGGAGGGCCCACTCTGCTCCGCGTCATCTGCCAGTGCATGCTCTGCACACCGTTTTCCTGATACAGGGCTTTAAAAGGTTGAGTCTAACAGCACTGAAGTAAGGGAGAATGCCATGGGCTGTTTCCAATGGCTTCTTCTCATACATGCGCTGTGAGGGGAAATGGGGCCAGAGCAAGCCTAGGGCTGCTCAGAATCGGCAGCATCTTCCACAGTGCGGGCGGCAGGAAGGCTTGGCAATCGCTCAGAAATGGGGTGGACTCAAGAGGCTCTATTAGCATCAGAAAATATGACAGGGAGAACGAACCAAAGCTTCCTCAAAGAAACAAATGTCTTACATCTCTGCTACATTGTGTCACCAGTGCTGACATTCACCTGCTCAGTCAATATTTGGTCAGTGCTTTCTGTGTGACCTGGGGTGCAGAACAAGCCTCCGCCCACCCAGCTATCCCAGCATTCGCACTGTATTGGAAGAGCCTGAGCACCTGAGTAGATAGTATAGTAGAGAAAGCAAGCACACGGAAGGACAGAGTGGAACGTGACCCTGGGGTTGAGATCTGTATAAACAGCATGGGCCAGTTACGCATGCACTAGAAGAACAAAGTTCCAGACAGGATATCTGGGGAACAGACCGGAGGAAAGACGAGTGTTGTATAAGGAGAAGGAAAAACAGGACTACATATGATAAGTAAGTTGAAATTGTTGCCAAAAAAGGGGAGCAGGGACCAGATTTTAAAGGGTGGGCATGGTAAGGAATTGGCTTATCAATAGCAAGCATTAGCAAGTTCAATAGAGGTGTACTTTTTATTTGTTTGAATTTCATTCTTGAGGAGTGTAGGGGATATCAAGCCTTAATTTACAGAATAAAATTATTATTCAGAGGCATACTGAGCAATGATCAGAAACAAGGCAGAGCAAGACAGTGCATTACAGGTAAGTGCAGGCCCGGGGAAAGAGGACGGGGACATGGCGGCGGGGAGAGGAGAGCTGTGAATGGACTCAGTCATGGTTTCACGGTCCAGTTGAGATCTGTCAACAGAAAACTTGGGGCTACAAACTAGGGAAGGAAAGAAGGCCCTGACAGCCAGCCATGAATACCTTGTCTCTTTCAACTTCAAACCAAGCAAGCTAAAAGCTTCACCGAGACCTCATCTTCCGAATGCTGGGTGACCCACTCTCAGAGAACAAAAGGGTACAATGGTTTGGCTGGGAAAATCATCAACTGTTGGGAGTGTCTGAACTCATGTCTATGTTTTTTAATTAATCTTTGCAACAAAATATGAATACAACAAGCCATCTTAATCATTGTTAATGTACAGATCAGTGGTATTAAACCTGTCCTCCTCGCTGTGCAGCCATTACCACTGTCCATCTCTAGAACTTTTTCCCTTCCCAAATTGAAGCTTCATATGCCTTAACACTGAATTCCCCTGGCTCCTCCCTTGATCCTTGCAGGCAACATCCCATTTCCTAACAAAAATTCTCAACACTTCGGGCCCAGCATGGTAGCCTAGCAGCTAAAGTCCTAGTCTTGTACACACCGGGGTCCCATATGGGTGCTGGTTCATATCCCAGCAGTCCCATTTCCCATCCAGCTCCCTGCTTGTGGCCTGGGAAATCAGTCAAGGACGCCCAAAGCCTTGGGACCCTGCACCCGCATGAAGACCCGGAGGAGGCTCCTGGCTCCTGGCTTTGGATTAGCTTAGCTCTGGTTGTTGCAGCCTCTTGGGGAGTGAATCAATGGATGGAAGATATTCTTCTGTCTCTCTTCTCTCTGTGATTCTGACTTTCCAATAAAAATAAAATAAATCTTTGTTTTAAATTCAACACTTCATAGAAGTAGAAGCGTACAATACTTGTCTCTTTGTGTCTTTACTGCTACAAGTGTTTAAACATAAAATCCACTCAATTCATACCAACACTATCATTGTCACTAGACCCAGCCACAGCCTCTGGACAACGGTGTAGTTTAAAGTCATTGTTGATGGTCCTGTCCTACAGTTGAGGTAGCTAAAATCCTTTTCTTTCTCCTCCTTCTGTGCCATGCAGCCTAGCTACTGGACTCTAAGCTTTAGCACCTCAGCTACTGAATACTTTTAAGTTAAACATATTCAAAACTACATTCATATTACAAAATATAAGAATTCCTGAAAGGCAGTATCGTCTTCCTTATTTGACTAATGGCAGGAAATTACCCATTCTTACAACATGTCGTCAGATGTTCATGGCAAAACACATTAGGGGACTTTAAAAATAGTTCGCTTTGACAATTCTGAGTAATCAGCCCATGCATAAGAGTCTCAACATGTAGCATCCGGCTATGTAAGAACTAATAACTGTAAGTCAAGGGCTGAGCCAGACATTAGGCTTCTAAAATCAGCACCAAGAAAAGAGCCTTCACAGAGACCACAGGATAGTGGAAGAACCAGACAAGCTGGCACTGACTCCTGTCCTCGACTGCCTTGGATGATATGGTCCTACAAAGCAACATTTCCTGGCAGAGAGGAAAGGATGGCAGCTGTTCACAAGGCAGGCAGGGCACAGCACACACCAGACTCGGGAAAAAGAGGGTGTTAATAGACAGCCAACTCATACCTGGGATCACCATGTGCCACGCTATGCCCTTTCCACACTGCACACACAGTTCTGA